GCGCGGCGCAGCGGAGCCGCCTCAGGTGCCGCGGCCGCTGCCCCCGCACCTCGGCGGGCTGCAAACGCCCCGGGAGCGGCGGGGGGATCGCGGCGGCCCCGCTGCGGCCGCGGGAGCCGGGGCAGGGGGGATCATCGCGCCCCTGCGGCTGCCGCAGGAGCCGGGCGCCTCCGAAGTTGCTAAATGTGTCATTTATTAAAGCATTCAGGGGGCTTTTCTTTGGCGTTTGCTTGCAAACTCACAAAGGCCGAGCTGCTGTTTGGGGGTCTTTTCTGATGGAAAAAGGGCTCGGAGACCCCCGGCACAAAAGAAATCCTGGCAGTGCTTTCAATGGCCGGGACTCAATGAGGGGGACCCTGCGCGCAGCGGGCGGGGGCGAGGGGCCGCCCGGTGCTGCCTGAAAGGCAGCCCTGAATGTAATGGGGAGATCTGCGTTTATTTGTTGGGATCACATTTAATTAGCTTAGTACAACCCTTGAAAGACAAAGGGACCTCAATCTGGATCCAATCTGAAGCTCGTTTGGAGAGCTAGGGCTCCTGGAAAAGTCAAAAGAGAGAAAGGAGAAAGAAAGGGGAGGCTGGGAGAGAAAGGGGCTGGGGGCCCAGCCAGGTGACTGGCACGCGTGAAACAAGGGGGCCTTTTGGGCACAAGGCAGGGCTCAAAAGGGACGGAGGAAAATAGCCTCTTCCTCAGGTTTTACCTACTTAAACCTCCTGAAGGGCCCGGAGCTGAAAAGCCTCAATAGAGGCTAAGGAGGCTGCAAAGCAAACAGCAGCGCTGGAGAGGAGGCGGCGGCGCCGCGGGCACCGCGCTCCGTTATGGGAATGCGCCCACATGTTCCCCGCGCCGCGCCCAGGGTCCCTTCCCGCGCCCCACGGCCGCCGCGGGGGGACAAGGAGCTGCCTGGAGGCTCCTGCCCCCGAGGGGGACACGGGGTCCCCGCGAGGACGTCCCGGCCCGTCCCGACCCCCCTGCCAGCCCCTCTGCCGCCCGCGGCCTGGGGGCGAGCGCTGCTGCGGGCACCGATGCCACGGGCTGCCCGCACCGCCCAAAGCGGCCGCTTCTGGGGGTCATTCGCTGCCGTTTCACTTGGCAGGGGGGTCTGTGATGCGGGGGGCGAAGCTGCGTGTGCTCCACTCCGCTCTCCCTTTGCCTTCCTCCCTTCCCTCCTTCCTCCCTCACTTCCTTCCCCCTCCCTTCCTCCCTTCCTCCCTTCCATCTTTCCTTCTCTCCCTCATTCCCCTCCCTTATTTTTTTTTGTAACAGTATTTCCAGGACAATTTTGGCGAGCGGCTCGGGGTACCCAAAAGCCAACAGAGGCGACAAACCAGCCCCGCGTCCCCAGCTGCACCGGGTGCCCTGTGCATCTTAAACTGGCCTCCAAGCGAGGCCACGGCCTCTGCGGAGGCAGGAGACCCGCTCGGCACTGACATCCCGGGCTGCTCTTCTGCTGGGGCGGCCGCTCGCTCGCTGGGAGCACTGGGAGCACTGGGTGCACTGGGAGCACTGGGTGCTCTGGGTTTACGGAGGGCGCTCTGGGCAGCTCGACCCCCCTGGCATCCCCCAACCTTGGCTGCCCCCGATCTCCGCAAAGCCGCGAGCGGGTCGGACCCCCCGCCGGCCGCAGCTCCGGTGCCGCCCGACGTCCCCCCGCGAACAGCCCAAATGGGGGGTCCCGGCGCCACAAGTCGCACAAAGCGCCGGCCCCGTCTAATCCGCGCGCCCGCAGCACCTGCACCCCGGCCCGGCTGCGATGAAAGGGGCGCGAGCGGCCGCTGCCAAGATCAGAGGCTTCTTTGCAGCGGCCTTGAAATAGGATTTCCTCGAGGGATGAGGCCGGGAGCAGCTGGGGGGGCCGGTGCTGGTGGTGCCGGGGGGGATGTCCCCCCTGGAGCTCGTGCAAAACCCCAGGGAAAGGGGTCCCCAACTGCATCCACAGGGATCCCCAAGGAAGTCGCTGCCCGCGGGGAGGAAAACAAGTGTTTGGTGCAAAACCCCGGACTGCGGTCTTCAATTCTGCCCTGGAGCAGCAACGGGGGAGCCTGAGAAACCGAAACCTCCTCCTGGGCTCCGATGGTGGCGAAAATCACGGAGCGACCCCCGTGGGGAAGGGGAAAAGGGCCAAGGAGCGACGCGGTGACGTCCCCAGCGCTCGCGCTGCGCCCGGGAGCCTCGACTTCAACAGCACCGACCCGCTCTGCCTCCCACCTCGGGCGCCTTTACTGTAAATATACTGGTACTCTAACGCGATTAAATATTTAGTAGGCGGGGAACAGAAAAAAAAAATAACGTCTCAGGCTGCCTGTCTCTTTCAATAACCATTTGGGCTGGACTCGCAATGTCCGTAATGCAGCTCGTTCGCCGAGGCTGCAGCATTAAAGGAAGCCTGTCAGAGCAGCTCCGAGCCTGCCCGCTGCTCCCAAAATAGCCCTCGCGCTGGATATAGCGCTCGGAACAACGCCGGGGGTCATCGTTCACCCGATGTAGACGCTTTAGCAAAGCCACGTTGGGGGGTTTTTCGGGTTGCTGCTGTGGTGATGAAGGCTCCTGTGGTGATGAAGGCTCCTGTGGTGAAGGCAGCGCCGTCTCCGCAGCTGTTTGCAAACCCGGAGACCCCAAAGTGTCCCCATGAGGGCCCTGCTCCCCGCGGGACGGGCCCTGCAGCTCCTCACGGAGACGTTCCTGTCAACGGGAGAGCCGACGTGCTCGGAGCCCGGACGCACCTGGATTTGGGGATGCAGCTTTGCGGGAGGCACCGGGGGGATCTCATCCCTTCCCGGCCCATCCGCCTGGGAAGCGGCAGCCAGGATGGGCCAGGGAAGCCGGTTCCATGGCCGCGCTCCGGGAACGGGAGCCGGTCGCGGGATTTGGGAGCGTCCGAGGCGCTGGGGCCACGCAGGGCACCAGGCTGCCGCGGACCCCTCCGCGGCGCCGGCACCGGCCTCACGCCAGGCCAAATTTCCACGGGCTGCAAACTATTCCCTAAGCCGCCCCCCCCCCCGATAAAAGGCTGCATCAGAAAGAGAGATTTCCATAATTTATAGTATGGGTATTTCACTGGGGAGCCTCACTAATCTGTACTTACAGATACATTTAAGAAAATGCATCCTCCCGCAATCCTGCGCCATTTACGACTATTGGCACAATCCGTAATACTCAGTCTTCAATTAAGGGACACCTTAGGGTTCATTATCACACAATTGCTCCCTGTGAACCATGCCAAATGCCGTTTTGGCACAGGGCTCGCAAGATGAATTAGAAGGAAGTCTTCTCGGTAATGCCCACTCCCAATTCCCATCAGCAGCCTTTATGCCCTCCTCGAGCCCTTTTTTCCCCCCTCTCGCTTCTTTCCAAGTGGCTTTTACTATCCCATCTTTCACTGTCTCCCTTGATTCTCTGGAGGTGGATTGAGAGAGGCTGCATCTCCTTCCCTTCCGGCTCTCAAGGCGCCTCCCGCTCCCTGCCTTGCAGCTGGGATCTTCTCTCCTCCCTCCCTTCCCCCTGTGTGACGGGGGCTGCAGACGCGGCCGGGGCAGCGGAGCTGGACGGACATCAAGTTGGCGGAGCTGGAAGCCCGTTTGGAGGAATGGGATGGATGAAATCGCTGGAATTGTCCCCAAATTGGGCTGGGTTGGGGTCAGCAGCAGCGTCTGCTCCTCAGCGCCCCGCACAGATGCCCCCTTTAAACTCACCCCGTTGCAGCCCCGAGAAGGAGGGTCGGGCACGAGGCCGGTGCCCCTTGAGCGCCGTATCAGGACCAAGGTGCAGGACAGCAACAGGTTCCGCCTAGTAAAACCCAGGCTCGGACTCCACACCAGGCACCCGAGTGTTCAGACAGCTGTGGATCAAAGTCTCCGTGTCCGTCCTGCTAGAGACAATTTGCTTTTATTAAAATAATCTTTATTAAAATAATCTTTATTAAAATAATCTTTCTGGCCCCTTCTTCGGGACGATCTAGTGCCTCGGTGCCGGGAGACACTCGGCTGCGACCCCCCTAGAGCTGCACTGGACCCAGAGAGAACTCGGGCCCAGAGAGCTGCACTAGAATTAAGGCTCAGCTTGACAGAACCCGAGTCCTCCCAAACCAGCAACAGGACCCGGCGCAGAGCAAAACGAGAGCAAACGGAGTCAACGAGACCGCCAATACTTGGCCCACAAGACACCTTGTGGAAATTTTATTATATAGAGTGTAAAATGCAACTGTCAGTCAAATAAAAAGAACACTTTTTTTTTTAAAACACCATGCTCAACATTATCCAATTGCGCTTCTTTATAGTTAGACATTTCAAGCATAAGGAAAAATAAGGAAAGAAACCCAAGAACAGTAACTTCAGTACATTTCAAAACGGAATGTCCCGCAGGTCAATTAAAAATGCAAGAAAAAATAGCTTCAATTCCGTTTTTTTCCTTTAAAAATACACTGTTATCTGTACAAGAAACACTACAGTAAACATTGGAAATCATATTATCCCTTTTATTAAATCAAAATTATTTAGCGCATACTGTGGTTAATACTAGATTCATTTATTTCTCTAGGTAATTTGACAAATATTAGATAAGAAAATATTTAAAAGAAATGTAAAAGCAAAAAACACCTTGGAATTAAAAAATAGTTACTACCTTTTATATGGTTTTATGTTCCACAGTGTTTGTTAAAGGTACTAATAGCAGATTCATTTTAATATTAAAAATAACAGTATTTATATTTCTGAGAGCATAGAGGAAGGTTTTTTTGTTTTTTTTTTTGTTTTTCTTTTTCTTTTTTTTTTTTAAACAAGCTTGGAGGTCTTAGATACATAAATGCAACTAGCAATGGAGACATGAAAAAAATGTATTGCTAAAAAAATTAACACGTTTTTATATTACCCCTTTAGAACTCTAGAAATTATACAAACCCTACAAAATGCCCCCCCCAATAACTTGCCTGACAGCAAAACAGTAATTGTCTCAATACAGAATTCACATAATTAATTACAATACATATTATAGTTCAGTTTTTTAAAAAATGCAATAAAATCAAAGACAGCCAAGGTACAAGAAATGAGAAGTAAAACATTTAATGAATTTACATATTTAAGAATATTTAAATACTGTTTAATTTTTTTTTTTTTCTTTTTAGGATTTGTTACATACCACCTAAGACTTCCAAGCCACTCTTTCTGTTGCAACAGAAAAGATGGAAAATTAAAAAGGAAAAAAAAAAAAAAAACACACAAAAAAACACATGTTGAAATGTCACAGCTCTGGGGTGCGTTTTGGTGCCTGCAAATTCTCTGGCTTCTCTCCAAAAAGAATCCCGGAGTTTTTACAAATTTGGAAACAAAATCACCAGCATGTCCATAAGTTTAGTACATTACTAATTGTTCCTGATTCTTAGAAAAGTTCAGTATAGATTATCCTACAGCTAGTGTTTCACAAACAAACAGAAAAAGTCTTCATCAAAACGTTGCAAATCTAGAAACCTCTGTTACAAAAAGGTTTTCTTCCGCAATGATTCCGAGAAAAAAAATTGCCACGAGGACCTTGTTCTACTGCTCCTGGAGAGGGAGAGAGCACAGGGAAGAGTTACTCGGCTGCAGCGAATTCCCAAGGCTGCTCCCGGCTCCGAGGGCTGCGGAGAGCCCTGCTCCTCCGCGCGCTCCTTGCTGCGGCCGGTGACTTTTATCGAACCCGATCTCTCTTCTGCAGAGGGCCAGGCTCCACGGGAGGAACGAGGAGCTGCCTTTCTGGCCGCGGCCCCGGCGGTTTCCAGACCCCGAGCTCGTTCCGAGGCTGGAAGGAGAGCGCGACTCGGGTGGGAGCAGCGGCTGACGCTGACGCCGCGTGCTGCGCGCACGGGTTCCGTGCAAATACTAACGACTATCATCGCTCTGGAAAGCCCTGCCAGAAGGATCAGGACAAACCCCACAGAAAAGCCAGGAAAATGACTCCAGGGCTTAGGCGCTCGGTGAGGTTAGACCTGACTCAACAGCTGGTTAAGCTGATTTTTTTTTCCTCCCTCAGTAATCATCCTCTTCCTCTCGGGGCCCCATCCTTGCCAGGCAAACACCCAGCTCCAGTCTAGTTTAGTTTAGTGCAAAGCTTCCAAGGCAAAGGCAAAGCCTGCACTCGTGGGCCAGCGCTGTGTGATCTTTAACTTCATGCTACTTTGACAGCACAGATCTATGATCTTACTTCAAATTTCCCAGAAGCCACAAAACAGCCTCAGACAGAAGGTCCCCAGGAAGAGAGGAAGTAAAAACAACGGTGATGATTAAGACAAACAAATAGGCTGTATTGGGAATGATACTGCCCACTGACCATCAGTAAGTAGGAGCAAACAAGTTTTCACTTCTTTGATTCCTTCCCTAGCCACAAACATCCCTCGGCCTCCCTGCACAACCCCAGCGTGGCCTCCATCCCGGCAGGGCAAGACCCTCGTCCCCAGACCCCGCCGGGAAAGAGCTGTGGGATTGAGGGGACTGCCAATACCGACCTGGCTGTGGGCCTGAGCCTGGCCTAGTGTCTGCCCGTAGTAGGCAGCCTGCTGTCGGTAATACTCTGCCCAAGCCATCGTGTAGTCCGGCTGGGAACTCGCCTGAGAAGCGGCGCTGGCGGCGTGACCTGCAGCACAAGGGAGAAAGGGAGCAATGAGCAACGCGGCGAGACGGAGCCCAGGCTCGGGATCTCCTTTTGCAAAGCTTAAGGAACAGCCAGCCCCCTTCCAGCAGGTGCAGGTATCTGAAAGAGCCAGAGCAGCTACGTGCTGTGTGGGGAGGATAGGAGAGGTTCTAGAGGACAGGAGAGGCTTTAGGCTGCCCTGCGGGTCACAAACTGAGCGCACGAGAGCGTCCCCGGCGCCACGGCACTGTCCGCGCTCGGCCCGAGGGCTCCGGCAGCGCCGCGGCAAAGGCAAATCCAGAGCTGGCATCCCGGGGAGGAAAGGGAGGTCCCCGGAGCCTCCCTGCCCTTGCTCGACCCGGCTGCAGCCCTCGGGGTTCTTGTCACACGGGAACGTTGCGGCCCGACTGCTGGCGTGGGCACGGAGCCTGCCGGGGGCTGCAGCAACAGGGGAGCTCTCGGCCGGAGCCCTACGTGCCCCGTCACCACGAGGCGGGCACCAAAGGGCCTGGGGAAGCTTAGGCTGGCAGAGGATGGCGAGCCAAGTCCTTGGGTTAGTTAACTCTGCTCGTAACAAGGGTCGATTCACCTCCGGTGGCCCTGTTTCACTCACTCTGTTTTTTGTAATACTCCTCCCATGCTTTGCTGTAATCGGGATGGCTGTTCTGCTGCTGGCTCTGTTGGCCTGTGCAAAGATGACAACAAGGGGCACGTCAATAGGGAAGAGGTGGCAGTTCCCAGCTTGTGACATCCTTCCACTAGACAGCCCTGCCTCTAGCTCGGTCCACGCTTCAGCTTCCACCTCTCCAGATGTCGGGCACCTCAGCTGGGGAAGGCGGAGGGAAAGGTCCTGCCTTGGTCCTGGGTTCCTGACTTCACCTCCGCTGTGCCCTCATCAAGGGCATCAGGGCACACGCTCCCACCGCCGGGTCCTGCTGCAGCCAACGCACACAGGTTGGCAGCTGCTGGGTTTGCCTCTCTGCCGCTTGCTTCTAAAAGGGGGACAAGGGGCTCAAGTGCCCGACGGGGCTTCAGCCCTGCCACCGTTTCAGCCAAGGGGATGCCAAGGGGCTCCCTGGCTGCAGTGCTGGCAGGGCTGCTCGCTCTCGCGGCAGGGCAATGCCCCGGGCACAAGGCTGAGCCTGGCAATGCTCCGGGCACAAGGCAGAGCCTGGCAGTGCCCCTGGGCACAAGGAGCTGTGCCCGGGCAGCCCGCGGGGTTACACGAGGCGCCCGCTGGAGCTCAGGGCCAAACCCCTGGGCGCTGCCGCCGCCTCCTCCGCCACGGGAGCACCGGGGAGCTGCAGTTGTGCACGAGGGGCTGAGCGGGGCCCTGGGGGAGGCTCCCGGGGAGCCGCGCGAGGGAAGCGGGGCCGGCGCTGCAGGATGCCCTGCAGCAGAGATGCCCCGAGCTGCCCCCAGCAGCCAGGCACGCGGCTCCTGCGCAGCCCAGGACACCGCCCAGCACAGGGCAGCCCCATCAAGCCCTCCTTTTCTCTGAGCCCATTTGCAGGGGACGGTCCCCCCGAGCTGGCTGCAGCAGCAGGGACCTGGGAGCAGGAGCCCCTTCATCCCAGGGCCCTCAGTAGGACATGCAGCACCCAGCACCCCGAAGAGGCGACGCAGCCGTTAGGAAAGCGCCAAGGGAGGCGAGCAGAGCGAGGGCGCCGAGGCCGGACACGCAGGAGGGCGGCAGGGAGAGCAGGGAAGCTCCTGCAGCCCGTGCGGCCGCAGGAGGGCTCTGACCTGGGGAAGGGGCTACATAAAACAAGCGTGAAGTGGGTGGAGGGAACAGGGCAGCGGCGCCCCGGCCGGGGGCATAAGAGCGGGTTAAAAGACTTGACCAAGGCTGCAAGTCAGGACCTTTGCTGGCAGAGGTCAAGGCTGCCTCAACTGTCCACCTGCTAATGCCAACAAAGGGCCTCCTTCAATGCCTTTTCTTCTAGGAGAATTACAGTCCGCAGCAGGCTGAAAGGACACGCAGCTAAATGCGCCGCCCGGCAAAACGCTTCCCCGGCCAGTTCATTTATTGAAGATGAGGGAAGTAATTAAAATCTAAATACATGTGTAGGGCCGGGGGTCTGCTCCTCCTCCCGCTCGGAGGGCACTCGCGGATGTGGCCCTAGGAAGCGGGTTTGGAGAGGGAATCGGGGGGCTCTGTGACAGGGCTAGCAAAGCCACGGGGGAAAAAAAGCACTTGCTTTGAAGAGGCAGGAAAGGGAACCTTCGCAAGAGTGTTTTCAAATTAAAACTTGAAGCGTAAAAACAGGTATTTACCTAGTTTCTTATAATAATCCTCCCACGCCTTGGTGAACTCCACCTGGCCTGACTGGGTACCATTGTGATCTGCAGCAGGAGAAAGCAGTGAAGTCTGCTTAAAGCACAGCATTATCTCGTGTGTCCTCTCTGCTTACCAAGACTGCCTTCAGAGTGCCTGGCTACAAACAGGAACACGGAGCAACCTGAGCGGACGTGTGACCACAGAGCTCATGTTTTCCACCAGGTTCAACAGCAGAAATAAGGGATCTGCCCCCAAAACCATTGCCCGGGGTACTAACCCCACACAGGGGTGGGGTTATGGGGGAAGGAATGATGTGAGCCTGGAGGCTTCACAGATCTTGGGAGACACCAGAAACTTGACGAATTAAGTGCAAAGCAGTTGTTTTCATTTCTGAGCATGCGAACTGCACTATCAGCATCAGGTGATTCAAAGGACCTGTGTTTTTTATATCCCCAATGCCAGGAGGTAACTGGGGCACATTACAGCAAGGTGAGTTCTCCCCAGTGCCTGGCAGGCAGGGTAAGAGGATGTTCAGGAGAGGTGAGGAAGAAGAAGACAAGTTATTTGGGCGAGTTGCAAAGACATCTCTCAAGGGAAACAGCAAAGCACATTTCACAAGCATGTATTTAACACAGGCTTTATATGGAGACAAATAATACAGCGTCCAAGGGCAGAGGGGTGGCAGCTGGCTGGACAGGAGGATCATTTCCTTCTAGAAATGCTACATGTTTTCCCTGCTGCATCGACTGCTCTCCTTGTGCAGGAAAACGCCTGCTTCCCAAAGCCTAGGAAAGGCCAGCGCTCTTGCGTGTGCACAGGAAAATCTGAATAATAATTTTCTTGAGAAGTGTGTGCTAATGGGAAATACTCTGCAGGATCATATTATTTCACTCCTCTCCAAAAGAATGCATACTGGAATTAAGAGTCTGTTGTGTTGCTAAAACAACTATAGCACTTACAGGCACCTGTCATTAGAACTCTTTGATTTAAAACCCCTTTATGGTGCTTAGATTTAGTTTTCACAAGCCCAGACTACCTGAATGAACTTACTACCTGAAAAACTAGGACAGAACCATGTCTTTTGGACACAATTAACCTTTTCTGTCACATGAACTTGGAGATTACCAAGCAGACTGGGCACCTGCTTTGCTTTGGCAAGCCCTTTTTCCGACTGCTCAAGTCTCAGACATGATGAAGATGTGTTCCTAACATCAATAACTTCAGTTATCTGGAAATGAGGAATTCCCCACTCCGTGCTGATTTTTACTAAACAGAGTTTTGGGAAGGAATGATGCTTCAAACCCTGAAGAATGACAGTCAGCCAGACCCAGTGCCAGCACCCTGAAGGAGAAGCCTCAACATCAGGGGTGATGTGGGTTCAGCTTTTGAACCCATAACATGTGTGGCACTGCTACTTCTCTATTTATCTGAAAGCCAGTTATCCTGTTGGCTTCGTTCCCAGTGGTTAGCACTATGCACGCTGATCAGTTTTCATCAACTCCCAAAAGGAGATAAGGGGACACTATTAGAGTTGGTGAGAACAAATCTGGATAAGAGCCAAAGCTATCCCCTTCTCCATTTTCTGCCCTTGCTTCCCAGTGTTTCCATCAGACTGGGAGCTAAACAATGAGAAGAACTCATAAGGGACATCTATATAGCAGCAAGGATTGATAAGGTCAAGAGCAGAGCGATGGGGAGAAATCACCACCACACATGCTGCGTGGGGCTGGCAAGTGCTTGCCTGGAAAACCCTGGAGGGAGAGAGCCTGAGGCAGAAAGGATTTTGTTATGAGAGAGGACTGCCTGAAAGGGCCAAGTTTCTACACAAAGAGAGCAGACATAAGCAGTTAGGTGCACAAAAAAACGGTTCCAGGCAGTTTCTGAACCTTATTCTTATTCTGAACTCATGTACCACAGCACATTTGTATCCAGCTCCTTTGCTCAGGGGCTGCTTCTGCTCTTTTCACACAGTTGGTCTCAGGGAAGCACCTGTGTCTTGTGGGCACGAAGCAGAACACGGGCAGAGAACATCAACCCTTCTCCAACCCAGGGCTTAAACACTTACTTGGGACTTGCTGTCCAGGCTGCTGCCACGTCTGGTAGGTACTGCCCCAACCCTGCGTCATGAACGCCTGAGGACCACTACAGAGGACAAGAAGACATACTGAAGTAGACAATAAAATACGGAACAGGCCACGTGAACGAAGTCAACCACAGAAATGAATTACTACTTGTAGTCAGAAACTGCTGAACAAATGGGTCAACACAGAAACAACATGAAACACTGTAGGTGTGAATGCCAACTAGGTTGAACTTTGTCTTCTTGAAGCCAAATGAGGACACACTGTATTCAGCAGCATCCCTTGTGCTGTATGTGATTCACACTTCTTCCCATGCTCTCCCTGCACTAGCAGCGGGAATTCTGGAAATGCCAGCTCCTAATTCTCTTAAAATTTAAGATCTAAAATCCTTCCTTAAGACAATCTGAAAAACTTCTGAGAACTCAGTCATAAGGCTCCATTCATATCCTTTCAGAGTTCTTCCCTGAATGTTCTTAGCTCCCAGTATTTCCCCACAGCCATCCCAAAGAGATGGAAGAACTTACTTTTGATGAGGTGTTGCAGGTGCTTGGCTGAACGGACTTTGACCAAACCCTCCAGGTCCTCCCATGCTGGTACCCTGTCATGAAACCCAAAAATATTTCAAGCCAGCTCTAAGCCCAGGTTGGGAGCAGCTAATATGAGCAACAAGAAAGGGAAGAAAGCCTGGGATGTGTTCCACTAAATCCCAGCTGGAGGAGACCGATTCTCCAAGCACCGAGTTCTCAGGACTCTCAGCACACTTAGCTTCAGAAGCAACTTTGGCCAGCCCACAGAAGAGTTAACAAAACCTTGGCACAGCCAAAGCTTTGCTCAAACAGCTTGGATCCTGGGTATCAAGCTTTCTCTTCTCAGGTGTTTCACTACACAAGTTGCTTTTCAGTTCTACCATGCCTTGGGCCAGTGTTTTCCTCACCACCTTTTATCCAAGTCTCCCCCTTCAGCAGTTCCATCCTGACATTATTAAGCTTCAATACCACAGCACTGCATTAAGTGGAAAATAAAAGTCATGCAGGATTTACTGGCGCAAGGAGTTGAGTGTTACTTTCAAAAAGATGGTGCCAAGATTGTGCCACTCTCAGACAGTAACACCACTGTCTTCTCTTCAAAATCTCATTTGACAGCCTTCTTGTACCTTATTAAAGCTTTTTTCCTCTCCCTCCTACAGCTGCACTACACTTGATTACATCAGCAAACAGTCTGATGCTTCTGGGGCCACAGCGAGGACTGATCTAATGGATGCTGGAGGGCCAAAGTTCAGAACGGCTGCTAGGAGGCAAGTGGTATTGAAGGTAAATAAGGCAAGCACATGTACTCTGTGCCACGCTTTAAGTCCAGGCCTACACATAGCTACAAGCAAGAGCACCACTTCTGAAAGAGGTGAACATCACCAGAGGAAACTTACACCAACTTTCTCATCTATGAGATGTCTAGCGAGCTCAATCTGCTGGGGAATTCCTCTGATTGTGAATATTCGAACACCAGGGTCCGTGTTTGGAGGCGGGTTTCTCTGGAGCTCCACGTGAGCTCCCGACTGTTGATTTATGCTCTTGATGTTCTCACCACCTGAAGAAAAGAAAATCAAGACATAAGAAGGGATGTTCAGCATCTCTTTCCATAAAACACAACTAACAAAGGCTCTGGTAATGAGAATATAGTTTCAGATACCCACAACTGCTGCTTAAAGAATACAGATAATGTGGACATTGCTAAGCTCCTAACAAGATGCATGATGACCGAGATGCTTCTAAGTCATCCCAAAGTGTAAGAACTGTGCTGACTGAATCCCCACCAGCTCCAGAGCTTCTGGACACCTATTCATATTTCTCAAGAAAAGAGAGTCATCTTCAGCTAAAATATGTTTTTTCTTTCTGCCATAAGACTTGTTTCTGTTGCTAGACCGTTCATTCAAAGAGTGACCAGCCACGTACCTTAGAGCATAAAATAAAGCTGGAGTTTTCCCAAAACCAAGCAATTTTCAATAGGTTCCCTTAAGCAAACCTCAGCTTACACCATTGCCTATTCACAATGCACCATAAAGCAGCCCTTCATGCAGCTGGAGCAGTGCTGGATTCTGCTGTCTTGCAGTATTTTGGAGTTGTGCACGCAGCGAACATATCTGACCACTCTGCCAGCTGGATTTACACAGGAACACTTCAGCTAGGATGCAGCAGGGCTGGCCAAAGTGGATGGGATTTCCTGAAAACCTGTTAGGTCTCGGTATCTTAATGAGATTTGCTTAACAAAAGCTTCAGCCACCGTTACAATGGTTCAATTCTTCCCCTGGAATCTCACACAACTTACAGATCGGCTCCACTCAACTGGAGAAATTACAGGGTGTGGGGAAAGAAGGGGTTTTTACATCCTTTAAGTCACAAACCTGGATGAAATCAATACCCAAAAAGAAGAACTGTGAGCCGGAAAGAGAGTAAAGGAGACTAACCAAAGATTTGTTTTAATTAAAGGGGTACCCAAACATCATCTCATCAATTTTGCTCACATTTCCAGCTCCATACATGCCCCACAACTTCAAAACACACTGTGGATGCTGTAGACACTTGCTCACTTCATTGTAAGGACTCCTGACCTTTTGAACATTTTAAAGCCTTTTTAGAGAGGGCAGAAGGAAAAGTTGCCCAAGGGCAATTAACTCTTTCTAGATGAATTTTAGAGGATGTATTTAACAAAGAATAACCATGTCACATCTCCGTGCAGAGAACAGGGCTTGCACTGTGTGGCCAAGGCGCTGATTTTCAGTAACGCATGGGAAAGCAGCAAGATGCAATTTTCCAAACCAAGAGGTTTCACTACATTTATGTCAGATGCAGATTTGTATCAAGCCCAACTGGAGGGAGATGGGAGCTGGCTGCCACTTCATCAGATTACGGAAAACCTGCAGATCCTTTTAGCCACTTTGGAAGCTGCAGGAGCAGAACTTCCTCGCCGCGCGACAAACACAGGTTGCTCCTAGGACTGGATCCTCCTCGTTTAGCAGGAATCTGCTCTTTTTCTTCTCGTCCTCCCGTGTGCAGATGCCAAAGTACTCCCTCCCATGCCTGGAACATGCAAAAGAAGCGACGCAGCCCGGAAGGAGTTCACCTTCCTCTCACGAGGAGGTGACCCGCTCGGCACACGGGCACTGTCTATAGACACATTCAGCCGCCCGCTCCATTCTTCTACCTGATGGGGGGCAGAAGTGAGGCGAGTGTGGCCCCCCAGCTGGACGTGAAATCGGAAAGCAATTAATCAAACCTGCTAAAAGGCAGCGCTGACAAGAGCCAGGCCGGCCACGTTATCTGTCAATATTGCTGTATTTATCATGGAAATCCAGCGGGGGCCCAGAGAGGCTGCAGGCAGTTTCCAAGCAGCACCGAACACAGAGAGCGCTTGACATGTGTATGGCTCTCGTCTCCACCCTTCCTCGGGGGCTCTGCAAAAAGAAAAGCTGCACCTAACCACCCTCTAGAGGAAAGCAGCTCCAGGCACAATTTCCAAGGAGCTGGGGGCTCCTCATCGGCTCCTAAAGGCTGATGCTTGGAAGTTGGGGATGAGATGCTCACAAGAAGAGATGTGGATCTTCCCTAATACACACTAGAGAGCTGCAGCTGGGAGAAGCTTCTCCCTCTCCTCCTTGCTCCTGCTTCCTGAGTGGCACAAGGAACAGGCAGCAGTTACCTGGCCACATGCACTGCTCTGCACCAGGGTGCCTGAGATGCCCATAGCTCAGGTGCTAAATAACAGCAAAGCTCCAGCTCACATGGAAAATAAACAAATGTTCAGAAACTGCTCAGAAACGAAAGGCTGAGGGCACAGGTGACTTAAAAAGCTACTATCTCCTCACACCTATACTGTCCCGGGGACAGTGATAGAGAAGCAGAGGAGAATCAGGCATCAGTGTGGTGCATTAATGCTAGGAAAGTGCAGTCCTTGCCATCCTGCCCAGGCCCCAGCAGGCGATGCCACAGCCACCTCTCACTTGACAAAAATGAGCGCTGCAGCACACTAAGAGCACAGGCACTGCAAGAACAGTGATTGCAAGGTGACATTACAGGGCGACAGGCATTCAAATCACCGTACAAGTAGCAATTAGCCCCGCCAGAGAGCTTCTGATCCTGCTGGATAAAAATCCCTCTTCGGAGGCCGTGGAAGCAAAGGTAAAAAGCTGCTCTCCACCCCCTCAACGAGCTGTGCCAGGCCTCATGCTCCAACGAGGGGCCATCCAGCTCCACTACCTGCATTTATCCTTTCAGTGCATGGGGCTCTCTGTAGTCACAAATGCTCCACACTTCAGTGCTCTGCTGAACAACAAGTGACCTTTTCTGATCCTTTATTAAGCATGACTAATGGATATAGCAATAAAGTTTCATTATAATTTGATTTTGTCCATACATATAACTCTCACCTGTAGGCTTAAAATTCACCCAACTGGACCGTTCACTGAGATCAAGCACAATCTCTTTGGCACAACAGGGAGAGCAGTTTTATTGTTGCTGTTTGCAAACTCAACATGAAAACATTCTCAGGCTTGTGAACAGATTTCAGCAAAAGCAACATCTTGAACTGACTGCAGACACTCCTGACTCCTTCCCAGGCTCCTTTCCACATCATCCACTGAGGCAGCAGTTTGGGACATCAGATTTGGGACCTCACGAGGGCCCAGTGACAGGGAAGAGAACAAGTGACAAGCAACAGGGTTGTGCAGCAGGGGGGAAAGGCTATAACATGCTCCGTTGCAAGCTTATTCCTGCCCAAAGGGATGGCAAGAAACTAAATGTCACTGAAACATGGCACAATGCCCTCGAGTCTCTGCCTCCTCTACCATTGTAGCTAATATGTTCCTATTCTGTTCAGCTCACCTTTGCTGACACTAAAAGCCAACTGCGACTACTTAAATACTAGTTTGAGCATGTGCCATTCTTTCTGAAACAGGCAGACACAGAAATAAAATACAGCTTCTTTGATATGGCAGTGTATTAACTCGGAAACACTGCACCAATTCAGAGTCTCCAACTCCTGCCTCTAATGCAAGTGCTGCCCTTCCCTGATGTGCAGCTCACGCTCTGGGGCAAATGAGGACTGATGCTGAGGTTTCAACACTGTCCTGGGGATGTCCTAGCTCCTGAGAGAATTGCCTTGTCCACCTTTATGGCAGGACTCAGTGGCTAAGGGAGCAAAGGGGCCTCCATGGGAGGGAACATCAACTCTGAGCAAGACGTGCACAAGGCAGGCAGAGGCACCAGTCTGCTCCACAGCGGGCTCAGATATGTACAGATGTCACCGTTTTATTCATCAGACACCTCGGTTACGTAGCTGCCACTATCTACAGTTGTTGCCACAATCGAGACCTTCTATTTTATCACACAGCACTCACACAAATCCAGCACTACGCAATGACTGTTCTGCTTGCCCCTGATAAACCGTCCTTTAAATCAATGCTTTACAAAAATGGTTCCCAAACAACCCTTATAAAAAGGATTCCCAAACAATCAGGCCTTTTCTCAAGCAGCTCCTTGTTATAATGAGTTTACTTGATGGCTCTGCATGAAGAGTTTTCCTTATTGTGAAGGAGGGCCTGGTGAGTACAATTATGAGGAGTGAGAGCATCACAAAGCAGACAAATCACAGCTCTTTCTAGCTTATTCCTACGCCACATTCACTGGCCACTAAATACCCACACTTACGGGAAACTCCAAAGCCCCATTGCCAGAGAGCAAGAATGAGACCATGCCAAAAGAAATAGGTTGCAAGCTGTGACATTTAGTGTCACCGGGACCTACCTTTGCCTATAACAAGACCACACTTATCAGCTGGCACCGTGTAGGTTATTTCCTGCATGCCCCCAGGTGTTCCAACGCTCCAGTCCCCACGGCCACGACCTCTTCCCCGGGTGACAGCCAAACTTCCAAAGCCATCTCGTTCCTTAGAAGACAAAAAAAAATGTTTAAGTGGTTTTTTTTTGCCCTGGTTCCAAAGTACATTAAAAACAGCAACAACAAAAAAAGAGCAAAGTAAGTTAAACTGTATTATAATCAATGGCACTAAATAAGATATACTTGGATGGCTCCACATCTCAGATTTTGAAGCGGTTTAAAGAAATGCTATTAACGTAGGTTATAGCTGCCTTCCTGACTCAGGAAGATATTTATATTTTCTAAATGTGTGCCTTGATATCTGCTCAAATAACCCTATGAACAAACATCAGCTACTAAAAGTACTTTCAGTTTGTGATGGGGCTTTCCTCAGAACAACCAATAGATCTTGGCACTATAACACAGAAGTTATCTTCCAGTTCTTTTCAAGTGTTGTTCTTTAAAAAACTGCTGGGACTGCTTAGTCAAAATACATGTTTTCCAAAATTTCTGAAGGGAACTTTTAAGTTCAAAGACACTTAAAGGGCACAGCTGTTCTGGACAACTGAATTCTGCAAAAGCAAAGGTCAAAGACTGTCAGAGGCCACCGGGAGAGGCCTGGAAATTTAAGTGGATGATTAAAAGATTTATGTAATCAAGTATTCAAACCAGATCTCAGGGCAAAAAGAACTATCAAGACTTACCTTTCATGAACATATTATGCAGAAGTGGCAAGGGAGGCAGTGTTTGAGATCTGTTATTTAATGCTCTGCTGCCCTGAGCATTACTCAGCCGAGTCAAGCACAGCTTCCAGGAAGTGTCTCATGTTGGACTCCGTGCCACAAGGTCACCATTTCCAAAAAGCTCAATACCAACTCAACAGGGAGGAAAACAAGGAGCCCCAATGACACCTTATGCTACTGCCCGAGGAGACCTTACAGCTCAATCAGTTCAGATCAGATTAAAAAGCAAACCTAGCAGTTTTGTCAGGGGCAGCCACACGTATGGCCTGCCAGAGGAAGGATTTAACACCACTATTCTTCTTCAGACAGTGGCATCCATCCACGCTGCCCCAGCACAGAGACTGCATTCTCATATAAGTGTAGAAGAGGCTCCCAAGAGCCTCCTAAACCCACCTGTGCCGTGAGAATGAGCTCGTTGATGATGTGTGCTGCATGTTGACACCTATCAGGAAGACCCATGACCTGTGCGACTCTTTCAGGACTAATCCCATCATCTGTGAAGAGAGGGAGCAAAGACTAAATTAAAATGAGAAGACATCCACCCAGCAGCAAAAGCTTCCTCCTAGCACTGCCACTGCTAGTGGCATTTTCATATAATGTCTCTACCCCGAGACCTCTCTTCCATCTACTGGAAGACAACAAAACCCCAATCCACATTTGCAGTAGGGGCAACATTCCAAAAAGCAGCACTTTCAAGTGTCAAAAAGCTATAAAAGAGATAGATAAAATCTTAAGAGGACAAAGGCAGCTTTGATAGGTGATCAGACAGCCAAGGACCCAGAGAAAGTTACTTAGAATTAATCAACTCCTGATCCCCAAAGGCTTTAATGTCCTGAAGAAATCTTTATATACATATGTATTAAATAACCCTCTTTTTTTTTTTAATAAAAGATTTTTATTCACTCAGTTACCAGTCAAGACATGACTGTTGTGACGTGTAATGTTTGCAAATGAGGTGTAAATATTATTCTCTGAAAAATAAAGCAAAAAACCAGAAAGTGCACGAGGAAGCAGCATGTCATATTTAAATAGCATTTAGGAAGAGACACAATGCATCTTTAAATTAAGACAGCCTAATTGCTGTACCCTCAGGACAGATTTGCTTTACCAATCCCCATTGGAACACTGGTCAGAAAGTAACAGCTCTCCACCCTCACACAAACCTGGTTTAAATTGAATCCTAACTCCAGCATCATTCTGAATCTTTTTGATCATTTCTCCATTTCTTCCTATCACAATTCCAACAGCAAACCTGGGCACAGAGACCTGATGGGAAAGGCAAAGCAGAATGAAAGCTCAGAGAACTAGCCCGAATTACTCCCGCTTTACAAGGAGACACTTAGCTGGGAGGCCAGGCCACATCCCTTCAGAAAAACAAACACACAGTCACAAATTCCTCTCCCCACTGAACGAACTCTGCCCTACACGAACGCTGCCTCCAGCAGACAATTAAAAAGTGCCAACGGAGAGTCCATCAGAACTCCTCTTCACTGCCAGATGTTTCTGGCAGCAGAACACAATGCATTTAAAGATAAGCATATAGGTTACGCGTGAAGTTTGATGGCTTCCCCCCAGCCCACTGTGGAGGTTAGCACAATAACTCATGAAGACATACCTCTATGCTGCCTCCTCCCATTCTAGAACTGAAATCATTGCGTACGCCTCGGAAGTCTGCCTGATCTTTCTCTCGGATGATCTCCAGTACCATTTCCCTTGCTTGCTACATGGGGAAAGAAGTTACAGTTAGCTTAGAATTATTCTGCTTGCCATCCCAGTTCAGGGTCTCAGTAAGAGCTAATGGTCAGCTTTCAGGCAGAACACCCTGTTTGCTTAATGTAAATGGTCTGATTTGGAATTTTTGAAACCACAAGCAGTGGAGATCTGTTCTTGACGGCATCTTTCATGTCTGATAAAGTCGGCCAAGTGAGCGAGTTCGCTGGGTGCAGTTTATTTCAGTCTTTCAAAAAGATGGTCCCTTCACCATTTAAAAATATGATTATCATTCTTTCCAAGGATGGAAATGGAAGGCCCTTTTCTCCTGGATAAGGTGGAAGCTGTAGCAGCACAGCAGAGGATGTGCCCACTAAGAGATAAAGAGCACGAACCAAGAAGGCAGGTGGGCAGTAGTGAGCTTGGGGACACTCAGAAAGGTAATCCCAAGCCTGCAGCAACCCAGCAAGATATTTTGAGACAACTGACTGCTCTCCCTACCTCCCTGCAGCTCTCAAGGCCCTTCACAAGCTTGCTGGTCACCCAGCTAATAAAAGTGTACCCTGGATATAAGCTATCAGCAGTCACCACTTAAAACACAAGGAAAAAGGCCCACATGTTGGTTCCATATATAACCCGTCAAGTTTTTGACATTTTTGTTCTTTTGGCAGGTTTGAGGGGCACGGGTGAATTTGACTCCTTTCACATTTGTGTTTTCTATGCATTCTTGGTGTTTATTACAGAAGAAAACAACTCGAAGCTTCAGAGATGCCAAGACAAACTGCCTCCTGGAAGGAAGCAGCACTCAGAACACCATTTGGTTAAAAGTAGCAAGATTGCCATTAAACTTCTTTTTACATATCGATCGTTTTGCCATGATATGTGTAAGAATTTTGAAAGTTATCGCTCAAACCTAAAAGCCCTGTTCCACTAAGTGGTTTGAAAAATGCCACCCAGGCATACCAGGCCTAAGCAGCACCCACTGTTCCAGCAACCTGTGATTAAGGAGATCCTACAAAACAGAACTGTTTTTCTTATAAACAGGAAAGCTAAACTAGACTTAAATACTTCACAAGACATGAAAGACACTTGCATAGAAGTGGCACATACTACCACTTAAGATTAATTCTTAAAGTACTGCCATCAAACTGAAGCCTTGTGGTCTCTAGTTGATGAAGGGTTTTTGCTTCAAAGCAAGAACCACAGGCACAGATAGAACCCTGACACAGTGGGACTGCAGCACCAATATTAATCAAACCCCTTGGTTTCAGGAGTTGTTACAGGCTTTATTGTTTTAATTACCTGTGTCAATTGGCTGTCTGAGATAAACCTTCCACAGAAGTTTCTTAAGACACAGTTAAGTTAGTCACTAAGAACCCTTACGTAACATTGCTACAACTTTTGCCTCTCAAATTGGAAAGGATTTCCAAGATACTGTCCTCAACCCCTCCTTCTCAGCACTTTGCCTACCCACGTCTAAAGCCTATTTAAAAGTGAGAACTAGCTTAGGCTGCAGACAAACCAACACTTGCTAGTGTCTGTTTTAACTTGCTCTAAATACTCAGCCTGTAAATGCCCAGGACAAGAAACAGCAGGGATTGCAGCATTTGCAGTTGGGTTTTGCTCCATTAGATGCTCACTAATATGCTAGTGCTTTAAACTACTCAGTTCTCAGGGGCAAGGGCTTACTTTTATTACATACCTGTACTTTAAATGCATCTCCAGTAATGCGGAGGGGTTTATCTGCTCCAGTAGGCAACGGACCATCTTGGATCATAATCATTTTCACACCCGTTCGCTCCTGAAGAAAGAGCACAGAGCACTTTGCTAAGCAGAGCCCCTAAAGCTAGGGACCATGTTTTGGTTACTGAACATTACAGAGGTCAAAGTAGGGAACTTGCAGAAGCTCTTAGCTCTTCCTGGGTACTCAGAGCACAAATTCAGTAACAAGCCTAAAGCAAAAAGGACTGACACAGTGTGCTACTCCCAAAGACCTCAATAACTCATTCTCTTGTAAAAATGGATTCCCTCCACCTCAACAACTAATTTTTCAGCCTTTTCCAGCATCTGTAGCTGTCTGCATGTAACAGCAATTGCTTGACCAGCCTTGAAGTTATTGGATGATAGAGGCCTAATCAGCGTACGTTAGAAACTACATTTTTGGCCTAGGTTCACTTCTGAAAACCTTTACTCTCAAAAATCACAGAAAAATAAAACAAGAAGGAAGAATAAAGAATGTTTAGGATGACAGATTTATATGTAACAAGCTAATTTTCATTAGAAAGGAGAAAGATGGGAAAAGGAGGAAGACAAACACCAGCCTTATTACAGATTAGTGACGAAGGAGGAACAACACTCTACAGTAGCGGGGCTGGCATTAAAAACTACTGCAGCAGCAGACTACAAACAGCCTTTTCTTGGCTACAAGGATCGCCTCCTAAACAGCACACACCAAATTTTATCTAAAGCACACAAGTTTCTTTCACAGTTCTGGCAAAACTCCACTACATGCGTAGCTGAGGCCAAACTGTTTTTCTTTGGTAACCCAAGATTGGATTCGAGTCCAGCTCTCCGAAGGCAGAAGAACAGTCCCTGCTGTAGAAGGTTAGAGCATTATAGGCTCTCCGTTTCAGCACGCTCTTGATCTAGAGAAGCTGCAGGAGGGGAGAGAGCCCTAAAGTGAATGCATCTTGCGCACCTGCAACTGTTTTATTGTTTCACCTCCTTTGCCGATGACTAGACCCACTTTGGATGCCGGGATCAAAATCTCCTGAATGGTACTGTTGCCATCAACATCGTTGTGAAAGCCAGGTCCATTCCGACAGCGATCTACAATCTGCCCCAGTAGCCGTTTTGCTTGTCTTGGAAAAGAATCGAGGGAGACAACCATTAGACAACATTGTTTCACGTGACGAAGAGACTAGGAACCACTGGAATGTGAAGCGATTGGGGAGAGAAGTGAAGAGATGAAGGAAACCACAGTTAGCACAATGTCATTTTGACCATTTCCCCTAACGTGATTATTTATAAGCAGCTGGATTTTTGAAAGGGGAAGACAGAAGGAGGAGCAGCAGCATGCTCTGCTATCTTTGGAAGTTAAGGACAACAGTTGCGCTACAGCAACTGGGGTGCACATCGTGAATGAAGACCCTCCAAATTCTAATTAAAAACCATATGCCATGTCTGAGGCTCATCTCCTTAGTCCAGACTAAACAGACACTGCTCTGAGACTAACACGTTGCTTCACCAGCAGTCAGAGGCAACTGCCTTGCTCTTCTTTGCCTGCTCCAACCAGCAGCACCAGAACATTGTTCTAACACAGCCTTGGCCCCAAGCAGCAGCTGCTGAAGCTACACTGGAAAACCAGGCAAGGATATTGCAGCAGCACCCAGGGAAATACTGGGTTCTCCTACTCCTGATGAGCAGAGACAGATGAAGAAGCACTTGGGAGATTAAAAAGACCTTCTTCAACATCTCTTATGTGTCAGAGAGAGCTGAGAGTGGCTTCCCTTCATCTCGGGAACTACTGGTCCCAACGCATCCCTTTCCTCCCCTTCTCCCACAGCCCTTCAATATTCAGCCTCAGGCAGTGCCTTCCCCTCTCCCTGCTTCATCTCAAGCCGCATCAGCCCCTCCGGGAGGGCTGTCTTCTCTCTAGAGTCTCAAAGAGATAGTACAAACTCATTCCTTACTAGGAGGCATTCCCAGCTCAAGGGTGATGATCTAAGGCTGCAGAGATCAGAGCACCACTTTCCTCTCGACTTTCTCATAAGACAAGGCAAAAGGAGGAAATTCGGGATGTTCATTTCAAATATTCTGAAAGAATTTTAAGAGATTTTATTCATCTATTTTTACATTTTGCATATTTTTTTGCAATAATATCAAGTCCACAACAGCTAATACATGCCATCCTTCAGATTAGAAGTGGTTGTTTGGAAATTAACCTAGTAGTTTGCCACTAGATATAACTAATGGAAACACCCCTCACTCAAAAGCCTTCTCAAAGCAGTTTGACACCTAGATTGGTTTCCTTACTTCATTCTACTTTTTTTCAAGCAGCCTGACAAAGCAGTTCAAATCACCAAGCTGACCATTTTAATACAGAAGCAAATTAAGTTTTACATAATTTCAAGTCCTCAGCAGCCTTCCTCATTCTGCTTCATAAATGGATGGTCCCTCCCCTCCTCCCCCACCTTATTTTTTGTGTTTTTTTTTTTTTTTATTTTGATTTTTTTTTTTAAGACAGCTGTGGACATGACTGCATATAACCACATACTTCAGAACCATGAAGTCTAAAAAGAAACCATAACTCTCCCCCCATTATTCCCCAATTGCATCTCATCAGGCAACCCAGCTTTTTAATATTTCGGTCTTGTTCTGAAACATCTTTTGCTAAAAGGGGGAAAAAGCACTTCAATACCAGCAAGAACACATTGCTTGCCCTATAATGTGAGCTTGCCAATTATATTTATTCTGGCTCACTGCTTGCAGTATTAAGGTAGAGTAAGGAGATTTAAGTACCCTTAGATCTCTTAGGAATGGAAGAATGATGAGCGTCTTCTCTTTAGAGAGACGGTCTTTGTGCCCATGTATTTTCACTATCAAATGCAACTCAAAGATTTCCAGATGGATTTTAAAAAACCCACCTACCCAAAGGCTGGGGAGAGAAAGAGCAGCTCCATATGTTAAGTGTGTTCCTGTAAGCCTGAGGATCCTGGATCCAGTTCCAGCAGGAGGTCCTCAACTGGTTTGTGAGAGTCTCAAACTCAGCTCCTGGGAAGGGGGAGGGAGGAAACACTGTCCCTAAAGTTTCTATAGGCCTAACAAGTAGAAACCCCTGCCGGCTGGCCATGTGTCTCTACCATGCAGGGATCAGAATTCAAGGCTTTGGTTCATTCCTTGGCTTCTCGCTGGCAGAAATGCAGAGGCCAGCACAGCCATGGGCCTCATGCTGCTCTGCCACACCACCAAGAGCTGCAGACTGCTCTGGGGTGGCACCAACAGGCTCTGGAGGCCTCATGCAGCCCTTCTTCAGCTGGAAGGATGGTCAGCTCAATAGGAGAAGGGAGGCAAAGGGAAGAAGAGAAGTGCCCTTCAACTTAGTTCAGTATCCTGGAAAGCTGCAGTTAGAACAACTGCATCCTAGGTGCCCTAAGAGCAACCTTGCCCTGCAGAGTGGAATTCCAGGGAATTTCTAAAGGGGGTTCAAACTGTATCTGGAAAAAAAGCCTTTGAGGTGCACAGTTTTAAAGGATCAGACCAAGAGGTTCTATGCTCCAGAGACCCTCAAGTTTCTCTAGGCCAACGTTTGCTGGTGTGGCTAACCAAGTAGCACCACTGACAGAGCACAGCATTAGGGAGAGGAGAGAGGAGGAGAAAGGAGAAACATGAAATCAGAACTCACTCAATGCTCTCTGGCGTCCCGGTGAGCACACAGGGCCTCTCGGGCATCCCACCGCTATCTACAAAAGAAACAAGACGACAACAGGGTGGATATTTCCAAGTCTTAGCACTCAAATTCCTTCTGTAACCAGGTAGGTAGGGAAATGCTTGCTCCTCTGACACAGACTAGACAGTTTATTCATAAATGGCAGGACTGCAAAACACAGGGAATGTAAAAAACCAAACTGCTGCCTGAAAACATCTCCATGTTCGGGATGTTGGACACAATCTGTGTCCAAGCCTTCACGCAGTCTTCTAGGCCACACTTCATTACAACTGTATCCTAGAAGCAAATGTGAGCAGTATTTATCTACCAGTAACTCACAAACATACCCTTTCTGAAGCATTAAGTCTTGTTCTTACAGCATCTTAAAGAGGACTACAAGTTGTTTTGTTTTTTAGTATTTCATGGGACTGCACTTCCCCAGGTGGCTTTTTTCCTTGTCAAGTCATTCTCTTGGCAAATACATAAATATCAAAAACGGCATCTGCTTCTGTAACTGTTAGGTACCAGTGAAAACAGTCGTTCTGCACATATTCCATGTTAATAAATTCAAAGACATCCAGGGTCAACCTGTTTAAAACGATTTGCTGGATGCCTGCACTTCTTTTAAAGCCTTCTCCACCAATAAGGGAGAGGCTGGAGGACCTAGGTTATACTCCCCCATAGCTTCCTATACAGCACCTTAGTACAATCTTCCCAAACACAACCAACATAAAGCAGTGGATGGTCCCATCTTCTCAACGGTGCTTTGAATGCTGCTCCCTCCTCAAATGCCTCCTCCTTGGAGCTGACCAGACCCATCAAAAACAAATTGCAAGAGCTGAACAAAGAAGTATCACCAGGAGAAAACTCAATAGCTGCAATTTTTGCTCTGTGAACAATATGGAGTGCCCATTCACACTGTACCCATCTGTTGGTTAAAGATGGTTGATTGTTTTGCTGTCAGAACCACCTGACACACCTGGTCTCTGTGCTAGTCCAGAGGTCAGCCCCAGAACAGCCCTCCCATGCAGCTTTATGCTGATAACACATTATGAGCTTTGCAAGGCACCTGATGCAACGGACGCAACACCCTTCAGCGTCACAGCCTGTTTGCCTGCCCTAAAAAGGGGCTCTTACCTGGAGCGATTTGAATTTTGCAGCCAGACTCGGCCTGAATCCGTGAGATCTGCTCACCTCCCCTGCCGATTACTGCAACAAATTCAACAAGCATCAGAACATGCCATTTCCCAGAGCAACGGTGAAGAGCACCCTCCCTGTAGCACTGTTGCTGCTACCTAGAAGGCAGCAGTTCTATTCCACTGCAGAATAGGTATCCGCAGTATGACCCAGTATATCTTAGTCGAAAAGCAGCAAGATGTTGCTGAAAACTATCCTATTATCTGGCAAGAAAATCTGTCTTGTACTGAAATGAAAGTACATAGGGGGTAGAAAAAAGGCTCTGCTGGAAGAGTCCTTTTGGTATGTCTCATTCAACCTGAACCCATACATCAGATACCTCTAAAAGAGCCAAGTACACCTGACTCAAGAGGCTCCCAAGGGATAATTTCTCAGCTATGGACCTGCCATCTCCCCACATCTATGACCCTGAACCAGGATCAGATTTAACACACATATGATGCAGCAGTAGAGCATCATCCAGGTTCGCCTCCCAGAGCTCCAAAATCCCTCTGATATCCCTCCAAACATGCACCAGGACCAGTAAATCACGAGGTCAGGTAGGAGAGGGCTTCCCTTACAGGAATTCCAGAGTTCCTGTTTTTATAGTTTTATAGCTTATTTAGAGCCTGCACAAAACTTCACCCACTATGGGGTAATTATTCTGGTCTGTTATTTTCCTTTTTACTCTCTGTATACTAAACTGGAAGAGATGCACAGAAACCTAGTGGAAGAAGAATTAATGCAATCACTATAGTCACAGCAGCAGGAGGGTGCCGTTGAAAGGAACGGTGATGATCATTCCTCAGAAGACCAAAATTAAGATCAAGCATGGAAGAGAACAGCATCAGGAATACAAGTCTAGGGAAAAATCCCTCACCCGAGTAATGCATGCTGGCCATTTCCCTGCAGTAAACATTAAAAAAACAACAAAAATAATCTGTTTAACTTGCCCTGACTCTATTATTATTGTAACATGCCAGTGTTGTTTCTCTCCTCAGTTCTCACACTATTATATATTCAAAGAAAGTAATATGTTTCAGTGAGGGACAAATAAATTTGCTCCTGGCGTGCTTAAGCGCTATGGTGGTTGGAACTGAAGGGAGAGAATCACTACAGCTCTAGGTAACTTATACCTCACAATGCTGCTCTTAATGCAGGGACATCAAGTTTGTCCACGTAGTTTGCCCCTTGATTTTAAAAGCAGATCATCCAGGCCCTATGAAGGGGGCATCAAACAGGGCTTATCCAAGGCCAGTAAATACACAAAGCTTGTGAGCGTGCCTTATTCTGTGAGAATAAAGTGTTCCTGCACAGAATATATATGAAGAAACAAATCAAAAGCATCCAAGATACTTACTAAATCCAACCATTTTATCAGGCACTTTGAAATCTTCTGTTATTACAGCCCTAAAAAAAAGGGGAAGAAAATCAAACAGTCATTACAAAAAACAATTTGAAAGACAACTATGTCCTGCCATGGAAACCAGAACAGCACATAAGGCTTTTGCACAGACAAGTAAACACTACGTCACAGTCAAAACCATCTCTTTTGGAAAAGACCTCTCAGGGGTCACCTGCTCCATGCCCTAGCTGGAGAGGGAATGGATCTAATTTCTCCTACGCTGGATACATTTCCAATCTATTCTCCATTATCTTCAGTGGAGCTGACTGAATAACCTCCTTTTACCTTCTTGCTCCAGACAGATTTAACAGAATAATGGCAAAGTTTCTTTAATACTTAGCCCAGACCTTCCAGGTCACAGCCACTGCCTACTATTTCTTGATAAGCTCTTGCCAAGAGAACTAGCCAACGCCAAAGCTGACAAGGATGCCTCCTCTGAAATTCGTAATTTGCCTGCCTGTCTTTATCATTCTTTCTTTGGAATTTATAAAAATCACCTTCAATTATCCCTTGAATTCTTACTATCTCAAGACTTTAAAAGCCTAACGCTCTTTGGACTTAGTTCTCACTGTGTCTGTGTCTCAAAATACAGGGCTCAAAAATTTCCTAAGATCTCAACACAGTCAAGAGGTAGAAAGGTAACATCTTTAGTGTTTTTTGTTTAATAATTTGCATCTTGTAGGAAATACAACACAATTAATATAGTACTTTAAAGTTTAATTGTCTAATATTACCTGGGCTGTATATCACATGGTTGATTAAAATAATCCACCTGCCTGTTTAATATTTCCAGCTCTTGTCAAAATGCCATTGTTTTTCTTTTTTTTTTTCCTCCTAACGAGGGGAAAAGGGAGCAGAATTTATTTTGCCCAGTCCTATAGATTTATAGTAACTAAATCCAAGTTTCACTTCATCCCTTCTTTCTTCTTCACAGCAAATAGCCTTAAAGGGATTGCAGAAACCCAAGCTGACAGTTTCTCCACATTCTCAACCTCTGACTTTCTAACACTACTACAGATGGTGGATCAATAAACAATTAGAACTGATCAATAAATAATAAAACATAACCCACTGCTTACCTTTGATGTACCAGGGCCCCTAACTGGTTACCTACTGTGGCAGAGAGAGAAAAAAGGGAAAAAAATCAAAGCATTAGCACGGATAAACTAACTTCATCCCCATAGAAAAAGAGTTCTTACCATTTCATCAAAAAAGAAAGAAAAGCAAAACAGTAATTTAGGTTCAGTGGCTGAAATGAATGTGTTATGTGCTATAAAACAGGAGGGGATTTCTTGATCAACACACACCATAACCCAGTGTCCAGCTGAACACAGGACGGGGAATTGATCCGCGCCTCCCCATGCTGAGAGTCATGGGATCAAATCCTGCCTGCCCAAATCCAAATCCCTGCAACTAACCTCCCTCCTTCCCAAATTAAGCCCAAAGAAGCGGAAGAGGAGGAGGAAGGGAGAGAGAAGGTAGAAATTTCAAGCAGACTGTTATATGCTAACAACAAATGAATAAAAATCAAGCGTATTCAGAGATTTAGTCTAGTCAAAAAAGGCATTAGAAATCACTTGCACATACTTCTCTCTGTATCTCTTATCTGTGCTCCATGGAGCCCACCTACACGGAGACCTGTTAAAGGAATAGGTCTGTTAAGTCACCTCGTGTCACCAAAACTCTGTTTCTTTAGCACATTTTACTGAATGCACACATTCCAGCCATACCTGCTGCCGGCTGCGGGGCCATCTGTGAACAGCAGTTATCTCCCTAACCGCCAGACCCCTAAACAGGGATTTTTCACCCCAGGCCCCCCCATGGATTAAAGCCCTCTTCCACATGTTCCTGGGGAAAATATCCTTAGGTTGAATGATGCAAAGAGGGACCGCGGGCCCTGCTGGGCTTCCTACCGGACACTGCCTGCAGCAAATCGGCTAAGAAACAGGCCATTTGATCCTAACAACCAGTTGAAGATTATATTGCAAGCCTGGAGGGCCCAGACAGCAAAACAAATGAAACCGGCCCGCAACATGTGAACTGTGATAATAAAGATGCTGTTTCCAACCACCTTGCAGCAACTTGCACATTCTCTGACCTGAAATAAATTGGCAATCAGCTGGCAGGGCTTAGGAAGCGGATGCTCCCCAAACCTGCTAGGAAAATAAAATCCGTGGCCAGACATCTTACACAAACAAAAAAAAAACAGACAGCAGAGTCAATAAGGTATTTCTGTTGAGCATCTATACCTTGATAATGGTTCGGGATCAAAATATTGACAACAAATGTATTTTATTCCTCTCTTCAGCTCAGTGAGAAGACAACTGCTGCGTTATCGACTCCCTTAGATTTGCCTTTGCATATTCTCACCCCGAATAAAAATAAATTCTAATTTGATCGTTATCAATAGTGCAGTGGAAAATGGTGGGTGATGTAACGGGGAGTATTTGCACTAGCTGATAAGCTGCTGCTGCAGCGTTGAGCAAGAATGACCCAACAGAAATCCAGAATCCCACCATCCTGCTCCGAGTATTCCCGTCATTCCTGTCTATGGAATATGTCTTGTAGCTATTGCCGCCAACGGGACAGCCCTAGCCATGGGCTAGGCCCTTTGGAAGCCCAGGATGCCAGAGTGTCCCTAGCACTACAAGGCTTTATTTCAATATCCATTCAACACTTCTCTGCAGTCTTTTACGCTACTATCACTGCCCACAAACTGAGAGGCAGATATAAGACCCAAAAATCAATTCTTGACGTTTACCCGTGTGGCAGAAGAGCCTTTATTTTGTGGCACAGGCCTAAACTTGGAAAAGATCCTTTCTACAGGGAAGCCAGACAGGCACAAAAAGCCACACTGTGCAGCAAACACCACATACGGAGCAATGCTTCCGAACCATGTCAAGTGCCACAAACATGCTAAGTCACTCACCACCCAAGAGAACTATTATCTGCACTGTGTATTTACTGTACATATTGGTGAAAGACCCTATATTAAACCTCTAGTCACAACTTGCACCCGAGATTTTTTCCTGTTTCACAGATATCCCCTCCAAGAGCTGCAAAGGCACGAGGGCAGAACGGAGAGTTACACTGCTTGAAACCACATGCAATTTCTTTTTCTTTAAGGAGAAATTTCTAGATTTCTTTAAGAAATGACATCGCTCCCGGATATAAACACCTGAAGTTTCATTTGTTCTCTAACATGCCCATTTTGCTCCAACAAAACAGGGGCTAGTCGAGTTGTGCAAGTCTGGGGCACAACACGCTGCTGCAATGCTACAAGCTGATATCCTACCGCACTGCTTCGCTCCTAATGCCAGGGAAGGGGCTGAACTCTGACAAGCCATGTACGTCTTTTCCCCCTTTTTACATCTATTGAGTACAATTTAACTGTAACTGCAGTCATTTTACTGCAAATAAGGAAAAAGAGTGAATAAAATCAGTCCAATCTCCTGCTAATGGCACCTGCTGGTTGATAACTCTTCCCTCCGCTTTAGGCTTCACCTTAACTGAATTCTACCTAACAGACACTCAAAACAAATGCAGATTTTTTTTCCAGCCCATAAAACAGAGCAGTGCCTCCCACTAAATTAAGGTGCAGGATGGGAATGTACAATCTTGCACAAAATATCTGCACGACTAGAATAAAATCAGAGCCGCTCACCTCCCGGTGAGCACGAGAACACGGGGTTGCATTTCCCACTTTTGAACCAAAATGGGATTGTCGGAAATTTTAGTATCATCCCTTTTGGTGCTCTAATTATCCTGATTTTTCTTCATCATTAAAGATGGCTAAGTCTTTCCTGAATTAAATGGCCAAGAAATAATCTGTTTAAACGCCCGCCTTTGTTGGGAATCAGTGAAAATCAGCTGGGAATCCATTAAAAAAGAAAAAGCAAACTGTAAATTTGCAGCTTTGAAGAGTCCTAATGTTTTATGTGATAAACTAAACCTTTTGCTAGATCTGGATTTCTGTTCTGGCTGATCTGCTGCTATAGGTGCACTAAGGAGCATCACCACTAACTCCCATCAGCAAGAGAAGGGCAAGATTTCCTTCTGCCCATCCTTTACTGTATTTCCACTGAAAATATTTTGATTTAAGTATCACGTACAACAGGATCATGCCGTGTTCGAGCACTACTAGACCCTATGAAAATCATATTTTATTATTAAAAAAAAAAAGAATAGGCTGCCTTTTATTTGGATGCACCATAGCAGCTCAGAAGAGGGGAAAAGACTCCTCCAAGGCCTCTCATCTTTGTTTCCTCAAACTCAAAGGACACCTCGGCCTTCAGCTCCAACGCTGCTTCTCACCCTGTCTACACCACTGCCAACTTCTTCAAAGCCGCCCCAAAGGAGGCAAACAAAAGCTCAGTTTGGGGGAATCAGTGTCTTCCCAGCAACTGGAACCCTTGACGCAAGGGAGCTGCTTCTCAGGAGCAGCTTAACACTAAATGGACTCGTTAAATCACGCTGCTAATTAGAGGGACTCATTAATGAAAACTGAGGCCAGGAGTTGGCTGTTAGCAGGAGGCCCCAGCTCCCTGTGCACCTCAGAACCAGCCCCATGGGCAGCGGTGACTTCGCAGAGAAGCATTAAGGGAGTGAAGTGGCCGTGCAAGGGCCACGTGCAACCCGCTGGGTGCAAATCCAGGGCCTCTCCCTGCACCCTCACTATTTGCAGGGTTATTTTCAAGTTGTTTCCAGAGATGGGATATAAAAAAAAAAGAGGAAAACAAGAAACCATCCGTTTTGAGCATCACCTTACAGCAGCAGGCCAGCAGGGCCGTTTCAAGGTGTTTTTTATTAAGATTATATTGAGGGAAGTATCAAAAACACTCACGTGTATTCTGGCTTCAAATATAATGACAAATGTTTTTCGAAAGGACTCTAAAAGCAACTGATTTTTGACCAGTACACTGCCCTATGGATATTTCCTAAGCTGATATCCATCAGCCCTGCCAGCAGCAATTTATAAAAACGGACAGAGCACGAGATTTTCTGAAACAAATAGTTCTTTTCTCACCTTAAATACTACATATTCCCTGGAACCATTTCTTCCAGGAATATTAGGAAGTCATTTTCTATGAAGCACAAGAGCTGTGTGAGGGAAAGCAAGGACGGAAGCAGCGAGAACTGCACCCAGCACCACCACCGATGGTGGTAAAGAATAAACAATAAATAAATAATCAATATATAAATAATAAATAATCAAGAAATTTCTCAACAGGTTTATTTTCAAGCTATCCTAAGGAGCAATGTAAACACTCAGCATTACTTCTTTCATTTCTCTTCTCTGAGATCACAGATATCAGATACATACACACACACATATATATATATATGCACCTATACACAGATTACGAGGTATCCAAGGACAAATATAGCACTTGGAGTCACTTAAAAACGTGCTAGAAAACGGGCCCAATGCTGAAATACAAATGAACAAACGCCTGTAGGGCTCTGCTTTGGCAGAACAACTGCAAATCCAGCACCCAGAAAGGGAAAAGCACCTGCCACAGGCCACCCCCTACCCGGCACAAACCGCTTTATAGCGCGGGCTCCAAGGGTGCACCAATGCAGCCAAGGTGCAGCACGTCATACGGTTCACTAGGAAAATTTTAGGTGCAAAATCAAACTTTTGCTGCCATTACGACCATTTTGCATATTCAATGTTCACTGGAAACATTTGACCAAAAAGTCGGATTTCTCATTTCAGTTCGGTCTGATGAAACGGTGAAGAAATAGACAGCACTAGTGTTAGAAATAATCAGTTTCCAGAAGACTAGTTTTATTTATTTTGATAAAAAAGGATCTTGGTCACTTAGATGCAGCTCAAAACTGAACTGCATCCACCAAATTAATGCCGAAATTAAATATTCTTAAAAATCACTGGCAAAATAGGACCTATCTTCACCTGCTATGCCCACAGTGTTTCTGGAATGGAAGAAACATCTGACAACAACTTTCTTTGAAATCATATCCATGACTGGACGCTTGTTTCTCCTCAGAGCACCTTTTTAAGGAGAGATGAAGTTGGGAACAACTGGAAAGAGGGGGGCAAATAAAAGCTAGAATATATTTGTAAACATCTTTTTTCAGTTGATCTAGCTCAGCAAAGAAAACCACACTAAACAAATGTATTTTGGTCCCGAAAGAACAGCAAGGTTTCATAGTTCATTGCTTGGCAGCACAGCACCTGGCCATACAAAGAACAACATATCTAGACACCATATATATCATATATGCAACATTTGCATCAGGCCAGAGAGAAAATTCTTTCAAGCTTCAGTCCTAGGCAGAAGCTTCACTTCCCTCCCCAGCAGTTTTGCATGTGCTTTACGGGGCGAGAATGGCCGTGCAGGGCTCTCTGTCAGTAAAAACTGTGGAGGAAACAGGAGGACAAGAACATGACCAGTTTTCTGATAACCTCCCAAAAACGGGAGTTCTTTGCTTCAATACAGTAGCAGGTAATAGGGTAAACACTCTTCTTGCAACAGTGCACAGCACTACAGATTTGTAAAAAAAGGTAAGAAAACACATGATCTAACCCTTTTGCTGTTCCTGCCAAAAACAGGAAACAAATAATGTTTTTTAAAGGGCTAATAATTCATACAGTATTAACTTATTACAGTTACCTGATATGATACACCCAATAAATCCCTCCTAAGCTGTCCAGTGCTAAATGTGTCAGAGATTTAAGAATCCCCAAAGAAAACAGTTATGAAAAACGTTAAACCTAATATAGGACGCTTCCTTCCAACTTGCCTTGACTTTTCAACGTATTTCTCCCTAAAATTCATGTACAAAGCTAAGCAATCAGAATTCTCGACATATACTCAACTGCAGAGGAGTGACCACGACTTGTCATGAAAAAAGCTGCACATCTGACACCTGCTCCTGTATGTTGCCCCTAAAACCAGGGAGGCCAGGGGAGGGCTGCTTTGTTGGGCACGCCTGCCCTCTGTGCACAAGCTCCAGGACAAGATTTAAACTACAGACTTAGTTTGCCCATTCCCAAAGTCCATAAACTAACACAGAATTGCTTCGTATTAGGAAAACTAACGCCAAGGAGCCCTGCACTATCTGGTAGGACTAACAGCACAGGGAACTCCGCATATCGTTTCTACACACACGTGCACACAAATCTCTGTCCTTACAGCAGGTAGCAGCCTCCGTACATGGATTTCGGACGCCGCAGCCACACGATTCTGTGCCCGCTCGCGGCCAGCTTACCTCCATCATCCAGGGGCCGTTTCTGCACTCCATAACCATAGACTGACGGGTCCACAAGTGTTGTAGAATTATTCAAGTGAGGAATATCTCCAATTTTAGCAGCAATCTATAGAGGCAGACGATAAAAATGCGATTAGCATATCTGAAGTGTCAGCTACTGCAGCTAAACTCTTTCTTCCAGCAAAGCATTTATTTACACTCCAGTCCAGTCCTCTCTCTGTTATTTTCTAGATAGGTGCTTTTATAATACAGTTGCAAGAAAGCAGTGCTTTATTTGTAAAGTAAACAGCATTCTGTTTGCTTTTGATATTTGCTTTGGTATTCTGAATTTGGCATTCGCTCGGCTCCCTTTCCTCGTCATGAGTATGTATTTACTCTCTGAAATATTATATTTAGACTGGTTCATTCAAAGCACAGCTGGGAAGCAGGATCCAGACACGAGGAGAACTCTGGCCTGGAGAAGGTACCACCACCATGGCCAAGTAGGAGGACAGAGACTTCCTGCTGCATCGTGTGTACCAGACATTTAGAAATGCACATTGCACATCAGCGTGGGGGGACTGTGGAGAGGAGAGCATGAAAACATAGAGCACAGGGACGGGTTTGGCATCTTCCTGCCAAAGAGATTGGATCCACGTGTGTTTACTCTATGAAAAGTAAGTTACTGGGCAAGCTATTAGTCCATAATTAGTTCCAATTCCCTGTACAGGTCAATATAGCACAACACTGACCAACACTGACAGTTCCTCAGCTTCTAATGTTTACACAGGGGGTAATAACCACTCTGCCGAGGTAAAACACAGTAAGGCCATTTACAGAGAAGTGGAGACATTCAGGTATCACAAGCAAACAAAGCAAATAAACCAAGTAGAGAGATGCAAACATCATTTAATAAAAGTTAAGCTCATCTCTAATGGCATTTGGGAGACACCCGCATGGCTGAAGTTAGCCCCTTCACCTGCACTCCAAGCTAACTGGATGCAAGCCAGTTGGAAACCATAAAGACACATTAGTCCAGAGCTGCACCTGAGTTAATACCCACCAGAGACACCCAAGCTGAAGTCCCACAGCACCCCTTGCCTACACAGAGGCATTTTGCTTTAATAAGCATGTTGTATTCCACATTGGTTTCCTCCCTTCCCAATAAGATCATTGAATGGGATCTTTATTGGGAGTCTGATTGTTCTTTCCACTTATTCCCCCTCTGAACTAAATCTTCCATCAAGCATTTTCACGCCGATCAATTTTTGTATCACTATATTATACTTGGGATTTCAACAGAGAGTGAGCACTAAGAATAGATGAAAAAAGCATTTTATACCGATACGCTTTAAACGGAGCCAAGGGAAAATGACAAAAAGGCACTTCCGAAATTTTAAAGTTTCACTACAATAAAATGACAGCTACAAAAAACCTGAGGTTATTGACACTACCAACTGCTACAGTGGAATAAACAACTGTTCAGGATTCAGAACCACGGGGTAGTGAAAAAACACTATTTGAAATAACCTCTATGGCTTGAAGGCACTGCTTTTAGAAAGGGACTGGAACAGAAAACATCCTCTTATGTGCCGCATGAAAAGAGCCACAAGTTTTGACCATTTTCTTCTCATACTCCATTCTCTCCTGTCCCGCATTAAACAGACGACTACCTCAATGCATCAGAAATGCCAGGACCTCGAGAACACAATTCCCACTTCCCGCTTTTACCCACAGAGTTTTGACAGGTTTTTTGGATGAAAAATTGAAAATATAACACTGGGCAGTCAAACCCAAAGGGAAGCCAACACAGAGCCCACGAAACGGGATGTGCGGGTTAGTCTTAATCTAGTTTTAGCACAGGGACTAGTGACCACGCAGCAACGTTTTCTGATGAAAAGCATCCTGAGCATCAACATGTTCAAAAACTGTTAAGCCCACAAAAACCCAATTCTGAACTTATTAGGAATGACCAGCCTTTACCTGCTCTATACTGTGGAGGGTTAGATGATGCTGCCTTGCATTTATGTTCAATGCTCTATCTCATCAACGATTCTGGCCCTTTAGTCATGTGCCTCCCTCTTAATTCTGGGATGCAGAGGAATTTAAGGAAAATACAAAGCGCATATAAGTTTCCCGACTGCTTCAATAATACTAAAACTTTATTTTTCAGTAACTTAAAACAACCTATTAACAATTGTCACGCCACAGCTTACAATTCCAACCTGCACTAAAGGCGCGGGGTCAGGTGTAACACACCCTGGCATGTTCGGGAGTGTTTAATTTTACAAGTGCCCTTCAGGAACTCTCTTCCCGTTAGTAGTTATTTACCTGGGGGCAGGGAAGAGCCCTGTAAGCTGATGGTTCGGATCACACATCCCACACTCAAAGGAAAGGAAGGGCTCCAGATAGCCAAAGCTGCCACAAAGCACGAAGGTGTGAGCAAACACATCACTGGCATTAACGCTTCCAGCTCCTGGGGCTGGAGAGTATTACGAATCCCACCCATACGTACTGCAGTTATCTTTCCTGTGCATAATCCCCCAAGGAAATGTCCAAATAAGCAGCCAATACCTTTTTTACTTTTTTTTTTTTTTTTTAATAACTTCCACTCTTATCTCTAGATAGTCTCCCAGCTGTCTTACAGAGAGACAGCGAGCCATGCCACTACAGCAGGGAAAACACCCTGCAAAACTAAGCATGAAGCTTTTAAAGTACATCTAAAATCGGTTTTAACTTCTTATGTTCAACTTACAATGGGCATCTCAGTTTTCACTACAGGTTCAGCAGGGAGATAAGCACCAAAGTTAGAACATAGCAAAAGCAAGCAGACCTAGGCCTTATCTGAGTAAGTGACCTTGGGGAACGTACTGCTAGCCACTGCTTTTGTCCCTCTGCATGTCAGTCATCAAGCTTATTTTTTTTAAAAACCCAATACATTTTGTTGAGCTTTAAAATACAATGGAAAATATCACTGTAGCTGCTCTGAATCCCCTCAAAACCAGGCTCTTCCAGCAACACTTTAGAGGACCCAGTAAAAACCTGACCTAGGGCACAGCAATGGTAGAGTTGGGGGTAGGGGGACACAGGGGAGCTGTGTGAGCTTCGCAATTTAAGAGGAAGATAAAATTAATCCATTCATGTAAACGGAAAGCTCTGTCACTGCTTAAGTACTACTATTGGTTTTTTTTTTTTGGCTTACATCTTGTATTTCTACCCTCCTATACCTTTAACACGCTTTAAAATGGTACACTATCCAAATACTTCCATAAATTGAACTTATTTGTCAGAGAAGACCCATCCACCAGTGCTGCGGAATTCACTTTTCAAGAGAACCTCCTTCTGGGAAGAAGCCTTCCATGCTGTTCTGCAGAAGAACAGCAACTAACAGTATCAGCAGTTCTAGATATTAGCAGGATGTAAAAAGGAAAAAAAAAAAAAGAAAGAAACGAAGCACCGTCATCTGCATCTTTAGACAATCCTAGTAATTCCAGTGCTGTGGTTAGGTTTCCCATCCTTCGAGCAGAATATCCGACTAAGCACGACACCCACTTCTCCGGAGCACGGCAGGGAGTGTGAAACATCCACAGTTGCTTAAGCGCCAAGTCATGGGTGCTTCTCCTGAATACTGCAGTAAGAGCAAATATCTGCCCCATATCTACTTGGGGATGACCTGAAAGAACAGTCCAAAAGGGAATAAAGAGAGGGAAGTCTTAAACCCTTCCTCCTCCCTGCAGGCAATTAGAAGATGGATATTAGAAGGGGATTTTATGTGTAAGACTTGATACAACTCACAGTAGGACTCAGGCCACCCGCTGCTCTCAAGGTACCCAAGACAACCCACTGCAGTTGTAGCAGCTACAGCCTCTCCTCCTTGCACCATTCCCAGACGTTCCGATTCAGACCACACGTAAAACAGATCACGAGAAGGATGCACACGAAGAGGGAATCAGTTAGCACTGCAAGTGAGTGTTGTACTGAAAAATAAAACTGCCAAGGAGAATGGAGAGAGTCGTGAACCAAGGAAGACTCTGTTCTGTCAATGAGAACAGGACTCAAAGGCTGCGCAATAGAAATCGTTTTTGTCTGAAGTACCAGCAGTTCTGCTTGTTTTCCTCTTTATCCTTTGCTCTAAAGGAGAACAAACATCCTCCCTCCCACTCCAAAATATAACAGAAAAGCCGCCCTGCCTAAGGCAAGCTGCTTCAATGTACACACTAATCACTACGTGTGAGCTAAAAGTTAATCCACTCAAATGAGACTTGGTGCAGAAGCAGGACAGCCTACCTCAAAGCCTTAGCATTCACCTGAGAAAGCGCTTTTTATTACCTCTCAGACATTTAAAACTATACAAAAGTCCTAGCAAGTTCATTGCAAACATCAAACGCAATTATATGTCCCTTCTTTCTAAGGCAATAGACTTTTTACTCTTATGGCAGCTCTTATGACTTACAAAGTCTTTGAAGAATGAGGTTACTCGGATTGATTAGGAAAGTCTTTGCTATCCTGAATAATTTTCTATTTAATAACTCAGCATTGTGCACTATAGCTCACATTGAGTGTTGCAGCCCTAGCAAGAGCTGGATTTAATAAACTTCATTACTAGTCTTAAGTGTAAAACTAAGCTAGAAAGAGTTTAGTAGGCAAACCAGAGATGCCATAACCAAACTGGGGAAACAAGAACCAAGACTGAAACGTTTCTTCTTCTATCTCCCCACTTAGAACAAAAAGAATATTCAAAAAAAGGCTACAACACCGGTCATAAGCACTAAAAACATGATGGCTACGTACCAGATCAGTGCAGTTCAGACAAATAAGATCTTTGAACATATTTCATGAATGTTCAGTCATCACCTCCAAAGAAATCTTAGGAGTGTCTCATACGCCAGCTAGTGCTCAGCCAAACGGGTTCCTAGCAAATTGCTAGAGGTAAATATCTGTCCGGAGGGGAATTAAAACCATCTTAACTCATATTCAGTAAAAAGTCCCCAATGACACCTTTTAATTTTGCCATATCTGGGCAGCAGAAGCCTCCCCGATCCCCTCCAAAGCCCAGATAAAAATCAAGCACTTCTAAGGAGCAGAGGGAAGAAGGAAGGGAAATAAAGGCGGAATACGGTTTTACAC